GTGTTAGAGGGATCGGATGTGAATTCCGGTGATTTGGTTAGCTTCAGGGGATGATTTGTGACTTAGGAGTGCGATCGGAATTGATTTTGGAGGTTCGGTGTAGAATTAGGCTTGAATTGGCGAAGTTAGTATTTTGGCGAATTCCGGTTGGTAGGTGAGATTTTGATCCGGGGGTCGGAATGAGATTCCGAGAGTTGCAGTAGCTTCGTTAGGTGATTTTGGATGGGTGTGCAAAATTTCAGGTCATTCGGAGGTGTTTTGGTTGGGTTTCTGATCGAATGCGTGTTTCGGAAGTTTTAGAAGAACTTAGGCTTGAATTCGATGAGAAATGATGGTTTTAATGTTGTTTGAGGTGTTTTAATGATTGGAACAAGTTTGAATAAGGTATTGGATCATGCTTGTATTTTTGGTTGAGGTCCCGAGGGCCTCGGGGTGATTTCGGATGGCTAACGGGAAGTTTTGAACTTAAGAGATTGCAGAACCTGTGCTGCTTCTGGAGAGACGCAGAAGCGAGAGAAGAGACGCAGAAGCGGCAGGGACCGCAGGTGCAGAATTGGTGACCGCATCTGCGGAGTCGCAGATGCGACAGGAGGATCGCAGATGCGGTATTTGAGCTCTTATGGGGATCCGCAGATGCGTTAATCTGTCCGCAGAAGCGGGAGGCGCAGGAGCGGATGTTAAACCGCAGAAGCGGATACGTCCGCAGAAGCTGTGCATTGACCACAAAAGCGGGAGCCGCAGATGCGGCCATGGAGCCGCAGATGCGGAAATAACTGGTCAGAATAGTTTTTATTTCCCTTCGCGAATTTTTGAAAGGGTTTCATATTTTCACTTCGGACTTGGAGAATTTCGGCGAGTTGGAGGAGAGGAATCAAGGGACTTCATTGAGGTAAGAATTTCTAAACCAAAAACACGATTTTATGGTGCAAACACATAAAATTAGACTGAAAACTCAAGGATTTAAGGTCAAAAATGGTGGTTTAGGGCTTGAAACCTAAGAGAACAAGAATGAGAATTTGAAGGGACATTTTGACTCCGATTTTGGTAAATTTAATATGTATAGACTCGTGGCGAGATAAGGAATCCGGTGATGTAAAATTTATAATTTTTCGAGAAGTGGGCCCGGGGCTCGGGTTTTGCCAACTTCGTGATTTTCGATGTTTTTTGAGTCTTTTCGATTGGGTTATTTTCCCTTAGCATATTGTGACGTATTCATTGTGGTTTTGGTCAGATTCGACGCGCGAAGAGGTGAATTCGAAAGGCAAGGGCATAGCAAGCTAGGACTTTGGCCGGCTTGAGGTTAGTAATAAATGTAAATGCTGTGTTGAGGGTTTGAAACCCCGAATTTGCACAACGTAGTGCTATGTGAGGTGACTTGCACGCCGGATGACGGGCGTGGGGTAGAGCACCGTCGGGGATTGTGACTTGGTCCGTCCCGCTTAATAAAAATTACTACCTATTTGTTTGTAGTTTCGTGATATCCTTATAAAAATGGATTAAATTGTTATCATTGGGCCTTGTGCCAACTACTTGAATCCTTCAGGGATTGTTTTAATGATTTCTTACCATATTTATAAATATTAAACTCAGTCCTAGTATTTAATGCTGTTTTGCAAACTCAGCCACCTTTTCTCAAAACTTGGAACTTAAGTAATATTTTTTTTAATGAAGTTTAAGCTGAATATTTTTATACTGTTGTGCCGAAAGGCTTATGTGATTTTGGACTGAGTATGGGATCGGGCTGCACGCCGCAGTGGTTTAATAATGATATTGATATGAGGCCGAGATGGCTTATTATTGCGCTTGGGCCGTAAGGGGCCCCTCCCGGAGTCTGCACACCCCCAGTGAGCGCCGTCGACGTTAAATAAATGGAGCGGGCTGCACGGCCGCAGCGGGGTACTGGAGGTACCGGTTTATGTGTTGCATTGCATATTTACTTGTTATTTATTCTCCTTCTGGTGTGACTTTATTATAACTGTTTTTAATGTTTACCGTATTATGCTATTGGTCCACGTTGTTGTATTTATAGCTTTACTTTGTGTTTATTTAGGATTTCTGATCCTCAGACTTTATTTATATTTATTACTTTCTGAGTTGGAAGTACTCACAATACTCCCTGCACCTTGTGTGCAGATTCAGGTACACCACAGGGTGAGTGAGGACTCGTGTTAGCTGAGCAGCATTATCCGGGAGTATCAAGGTAGCTGCATGGCGTTCGCAGCTCTGATCTCTCCCATCTATCTTTATTCTTTTATTCGCATTTTCTTTCCTAGTCGGATTGGTGATTAGGTGGATGATCTGTTTTAGAGGCTCATGTTCGTGACACCAGATTCGGTGGGCTATTTAGTATTTTATTTTGGGGTTTTCGAATGTTAGAGATTATATCAGAATTTTCGTGCTAAATTGGTATTATAGTAGTGAATATTTATTTATTCATATAGGTTATTTGGCTAAGGTTGTATAAATGGTCGGGCTTGCCTAGCAATATGTTGGGCGCCATCACGACCGGGGTTTGGGGTCGTGATAAGGTGGTATCAGAGCCTAGGTTACTTGGTCTCGCGAATCATGAGTCGGTTTAGTAGAGTCTCGTGGATCGGTACGGAGACGTCTGTACTTATCCTCGAGAGGCTACAGAACCTTTAGGAAATACTCCATATTCTTGAAACTCTTGTAGTGCGACTTTGTTGAACTGTGAACTAAATCTTTGTTATTCTATTCTCTCACAGATGGTGAGAACACGAGCTACCGAACGTGACGGACGACCACCAGTGCCACCTACTGAGGCTGCCAGAGGCCGTGGGCGCGGTCGTGGTCGTGGCAGGGGTAGAGCAGCTGGGACAGAACCTGCTAATCCTACGATTGCCCCAGCTCAGGATCAGGCTCCAGCGGTGGAGACTCCAGCAGCACCTGCTCAGGCACCAGCTGTGCCTATTGTGATTCCGGGTCTTCAGGAGACCTTGGCACAGATCTTGACGGTCTGTACTGGTTTGGCTCAAGCAGTTTCAGCCACCACAGCAGCAGCAGCTACTTCACAGACCGGGGGAGGCAATCAGACCCCCGATGCTCGCACACCTGCGCAGGGAGTGCAGGGGCTACAGACACCGGAGGCACCTCCAGCTCAGCAGGTTGCACCAGCTCAGGGTTTTGTGGTTCCAGCTATGCCAGACGATGAGCAGCGTCGTCTCGAGAGGTTTGGTAGACTCCAGCCTCCGACATTCGGTGGTGCTGAGGGCGAGGATGCCCAGAGTTTTCTTGACAGATGCCAGCGTATGCTCCGTACGGCAGGGATCCTTGAGTCGAGTGGTGTGGCATTTACTACTTTTCAGTTCACGGGGGATGCTCTTACTTGGTGGGAGGACTTTGAGAGGCGTAGGCCTGCCGGTGCAGCACCTCTGACTTGGCAGCAGTTCTCAGCTCTTTTTCTGGAGAAGTATATACCTCAGTCCCGCAGGGAAGAGTTGCGTAGGCAGTTTGAGTGGTTGACATAGGGAGACATGACAGTAACTCAGTATGAGGTGAGGTTTTCCCAGCTGGCTCGTTATGCTACTTGGATGGTTCCAACAGATCGCGAGAGGATCAGGAGATTTGTGGATGTTCTTAACTACCATCTCCGTATTCTGATGACTAGAGAGAGAGTACTGGGTGCTACGTTTGAGGAGGTGGTAGACATTGCTCGCGAGATTGAGTCAGTTCGCCATAGAGAGCGAGAGGAGAGGGAGGCTAAGAGGCCTCGTGGATCGGGCAGTTACAGTGGTGCTCCTTCGAGGGGTCAGTTCTAGCAGGGTAGAGGTCACTCTTTCAGGCCTGCTCAGTCAGCTCGTCCAGAATATCGTGGGGGATCTTCAGGCCGTGGTCATCATGGCCCCCAGCAGGGTCAGACTTCACTCAGCGCCCTCCCAGCTCAGAGTTCATCTCATGCCCCATCAGTTCAGGGTTCTTCTACGCCGAGTGCATCTGCTAGTCACTCCGGTGCGAGAGGTTTTCATTAGTCCCCATCTTCAGTACCGGGCAGCTGCTATGAGTGCGGAGAGTTGGGTCATTTTAAGAGGCAGTGCCCTCGCCTTCGTGGCAGACAGCATCAACATAGGGGTCAGCCCTCGACTTCTGCTCCAGTTACTTCACCACCCGCCCAGTCAGCTAAGGGTGGAGATCAGGCAGCCAGGGGTCGCCCCAGAGGTGGAGATCAATCAGGCGGTGGCCAGGCTCGTTTCTACGCGATGCCGGGCAGGACAGATGCCATCGCTTCAGACGCTGTCATTACAGGTATTATTTCAGTCTGTCACAGAGACGCCTCAGTATTATTTGATCCCGGTTCTACCTATTCATATGTATCTTCATACTTTGCTCATCATTTGGGTACGACCCGAGGGTGTCTTGCCTTACCTGTTCATGTGTCTACCCCGGTGGGCGACACCATTATTGTGGACCATGTATACTGGTCGTGTTTGGTGACTATTGGGGGTCTGGAGACCCGAGTTGATTTATTGCTACTGAATATGGTAGATTTCGATATTATCCTGGGCATGGACTGGTTATCTCCGTGTCATGCTATTCTAGACTGTTATGCTAAGACAGTCACTTTGGCTATGCCGGGTGTACCGCGGATCGAGTGGCGTGGTGTGACTGACTATATTCCTAGCAGAGTTATTTCTTTCTTGAAGGCCCGGCGTATGGTTGGAAAGGGTTGTCTTTCCTATTTGGCGTTTGTGAGAGATGTGGGAGCTGAGACTCCTAGCATTGAGTCAGTTCCTGTTGTGAGGGAGTTTCCCGATGTGTTTCCTGCAGACCTGCCGGGTATGCCGCCGGACAGGAACATTGATTTTGGCAATTGACCTGGTGCCGGGCACTCAGCCCATTTCTATTCCACCATATCGCATGGCCCCAGCGGAGTTGAAAGAATTGAAGGAGCAGCTTCAGGAGCTCCTGGATAAGGGTTCATTCGGCCTAGTGTGTCACCTTGGGGTGCACCAGTTCTATTTGTGAAGAAGAAGGATGGCACGATGAGAATGTGCATCGATTATAGGCAGTTGAACAAGGTAACAATTAAAAACAAGTACCCCTTACCTCACATTGATGATTTATTTGACCAGCTTCAGGGAGCGAGGGTGTTCTCAAAAATTGATCTCCGTTCGGGTTACCACCAGTTAAAAATCAGGGACTCAGATATTCATAAGACTGCTTTCAGGACTAGATATGGTCACTATGAATTTCTTGTCATGTCTTTCGGGCTGACCAATGCCCCAGCAGCTTTCATGCACCTGATGAACAGTGTGTTCCGGCCTTACCTGGATTCATTTGTAATAGTATTCATTGATGACATACTGGTACACTCGCGCAGTCAGGAGGAGCACGCGCAGCAATTGAGAGTTGTATTGCAGAGATTAAGGGAGGAGAGGCTTTATGCAAAGTTCTCCAAATGTGAGTTCTGGCTCGGTTCAGTGGCTTTCTTGGGACATGTGGTATCCAGTGAGGGTATTCAGGTTGACCTAAAGAAGATAGAGGCGGTGCAGAGTTGGCCTAGACCGACCTCAGCCACAGAGATTCGTAGCTTCCTAGGGTTGGCAGGTTACTATCTCCGTTTTGTGCAGGGACTTTCCTCTATTGCATCGCCCTTGACTAAGTTGACTTAGAAGGGTGTCGCATCTGTATGGTCGGACGAGTGTGAGGAGAGCTTTCAGAAGCTCAAGACGGCTTTGACCACAGCTCCAGTGTTACTCTTGCCATCAGCTTCAGGATCTTATACGGTATATTGCGATGCTTCGAGAGTTGGGATTGGTTGTGTTTTGATGCAGGAGGGTAGAGTTATTGCGTATGCTTCTCGTCAGTTGAAGCCCCATGAGCAGAACTACCCCGTCCATGACTTGGAGCTAGCAGCTATAGTTCATGCACTGAAGATTTGGAGGTATTCACTGATCATCGCAGTCTTCAGCATTTGTTCAAGCAAAAGGATCTTAATTTGAGGCAGCGTAGATGGTTGGAGTTACTTAAGGATTATGACATTACTATCCTGTATCACCCGGGGAAGGCCAATGTAGTGGCCGATGCTTTGAGCCGGAAGTCGGTGAGTATGGGGAGCTTGGCATACATTCCAGTTGAGGAGAGGCCATTTGCAGTTGATGTTCAGGCCTTGGCCAACCGATTTGTGAGATTAGATATTTCAGAGCCCAGTCGAGTGTTGGCTTGTGTGGTTTCTCGGTCTTCCTTGTATGACCGCATCAGGGAGTGTCAGTATGATGATCCGCATTTGCTTGTCCTTAAGGACAGGGTTCAGCATGATGATGCCAGGGATGTGACCATTGGAGATGATGGTGTGTTGAGGATGCAGGGCCGGATTTGCGTGCCCAACGTGGATGGGCTTCGGGAGTTGATACTGGAAGAGGCCCATAGCTCGCGGTATTCCATTCATCCGGGTGCCGCAAAGATGTATCAGGATCTTAGACAGCACTATTGGTGGCGGAGGATGAAGAGAGATATTGTGGAGTATGTAGCCCGGTGTCTTAATTGTCAGCAAGTGAAATATGAGCATCAGAGATCGAGTGGCTTACATCAGCAGATGGTTATTCCTGAGTGGAAGTGGGAGAGAATCACTATGGATTTTGTTACCGGACTTCCACGAACCCTGAAGAAATTTGATGCTATTTGTGTGATTGTAGACAGACTGACCAAGTCCGCGCACTTCATTCCGGTTTGTACTACCTATTCTTCAGAGCGGCTGGCAGAGATCTATATTCGGGAGATAGTTCGATTGCATGGTGTCCCAGTTTCCATCATATCAGATTGGGGCACTCAGTTCAACTCTCAGTTCTGGCAGGTTGTTCAGCGAGAGTTGGGTACTCAGGTGCAGTTGAGCACATCTTTTCACCCTCAGACGGACGGGCAGTCCGAGCGCACCATTCAGATATTGGAGGATATGTTACGTGCCCGTGTTATTGATTTTGGAGGATCATGGGATCGGTTTCTACCGCTTGCAGAGTTTGCATATAACAATAGCTATCAGTCCAGCATTCAGATGGCACCGTATGAGGCCTTGTATGGGAGGCGGTGTAGATCGCCAGTTGGTTGGTTCGAGCCCGGGGAGGCTAGGTTGTTGGGGACAGATTTGGTTCAGGATGCATTGGAAAAGGTGAAGGTAATTCAGGAGAGACTCCGTACAGCACAGTCGAGACAGAAGAGCTATGCAGAAAGGAAGGTTCGAGATGTATCTTTTATGATTGGTGAGAAGGTCTTGCTGAATGTTTCACCCACAAAGGGTGTTATGAGATTTGGGAAGAAAGGGAAGCTGAGCCCGCGGTTTATTGGGCCTTTTGAGGTACTCAGGAGGATCGGGGAGGTGGCTTATGAGCTTGCCTTGCCACCTAGCTTGTCGAGCGTGCATCCAGTTTTTCACGTGTCTATGCTCCGAAAGTACGTTGGGGACCCGTCCCATGTTTTAGATTTCAGCACAGTCAGCTGGAGGGTGACTTGACGTATGAGGTAGAGCCAGCAGCCATTTTGGATCGTCAGGTTCGGAAGTTGAGATCAAAGGATGTGGCATCAGTGAAAGTGCAGTGGAGAGGTCGCCCCGTGGAGGAGGCTACCTGGGAGACCGAGCAGGAGATGCGGAGCAGATATCCTCACCTATTTGAGACTTTAGGTATGTTTCTTGACCCGCTCGAGGACGAGCGTTTGTTTAAGTTGGGGAGGATGTGACGACCCGACCCGCCGTCACGTGAGTTACCGCCCCATTTTCCCCATGTTATGCTTCTTCATGTTTCATTATCAGTAATTGATGTGTTAGAGTTGGTTTGGAATGGTCTTGATAAGAAATGAGACACTTAGTCTCTTTTAAGAAGGCTTAAGTTGGAAAAGTCAACCGGATGTTGACTTTTGTGTTAGAGGGCTCGGATGTGAATTCCGGTGATTTGGTTAGCTTCGGGGGATGATTTGTGACTTAGGAGTGCGATCGGAATTGATTTTGGAGGTTCGGTGTAGAATTAGGCTTGAATTGGCGAAGTTAGTATTTTGGCGAATTCCGGTTGGCAGGTGAGATTTTGATCCGGGGATCGGAATGAGATTCCGAGAGTTGCAGTAGCTTCGTTAGGTGATTTTGGATGGGTGTGCAAAATTTCAGGTCATTCGGAGGTGTTCTGGTTGGGTTTCTGATTGAATGCGTGTTTCGGAAGTTTTAGAAGAACTTAGGCTTGAATTCGATGAGAAATGATGGTTTTAATATTGTTTGAGGTGTTTTAATGATTGGAGCAAGTTTGAATAAGGTATTGGATCATGCTTGTATTTTTGGTTGAGGTCCCGAGGGCCTCGGGGTGATTTCGGATGGCTAACGGGAAGTTTTGAACTTATGAGATTGCAGAACCTGTGCTGCTTATGGTATTTTCGCTTCTGCGGAATTGGGACCGCAGAAGCGGTACCGCAGAAGCGAGAGGAGAGACGCAGAAGCGGCAGGGACCGCAGGTGCGGAATTTGTGACCGCATCTGCGGAGTCGCAGATGCGACAGGAGGACCGCAGATGCTGTATTTGAGCTCTTATGGGGATCCGCAGATGCGTTAATCTGTCCGCAAAAGCGGGAGGCGCAGGAGCGGATGTTAAACTGCAGAAGCGGATACGTCCGCAGAAGCGGTGCATTGACCGCAAAAGCGGGAGCCGTAGATGTGGAAATAACTGGTCAGAATAGTTTTTTTTTCCCTTCGCGAATTTTTGAAAGGGNCGTTTAACGTATAATTACCTTTTATATGCGTAAAATTGGTCCCTACATTTTTAAAATGATAAATATATATTTTTAAATCATTTTGGTACATAAATTATCTTCCAGAAATTGTTTATTATTTATTATAAATTAAATAGGGGAAATTTGGCTATTTAAATTATAGCCAGATTGGCGTTTTAATTACAGCCTAAATTGAACCCAACCCCAGACCAATTTCCTATTAAAATACCTGACACAGATCCTATACACAGTTACCCGACCCGGAGTCCATTAAATCCTGGTCGTTGATCTCCCAGATCAACGGCCCGTATTACTTCTTTCCTTTTTTAATTTCTAAGACCCTAACCCTAACCTCATTTCCAAAAGGCCGCCGCCTTTGTATCTCTCATCTCCTCTCTTTTCTCAACCTAACCCTAACCCCCTTTCAACCGCCTCCCTTCTCCGGTGACCACCCTTCAACCCCAAGCCTCCAATGGCTCCTCCATTGCCTTGCTCATCTTCTCTAAAGCCTTCAAGGGCCCTGGGCCACGCCGACTTGAATCTAGGGTTTGCTGTTTTGGCTGTTCATGGCTACTCCGGTGTGATTTCGAGCAAAATCACACTGTATTTGTTACGATCTTTGAAGTTTCTAAACAGGTTCTTCCATCTCTATTTGGGTTTCTTTTGAAACCCTAATTTTTGTTTGCATCTCTTAGATCTGTGCTATTTTTAAACGATTCGAGTCTGTTCCTTTTACGTTTTACACTGTTCTTGAACCTCCTTTGCAAAAATCATCGATTTCAAGTTGTTTTTACTTTCTTTTGAAGTTAGGGTTTTTCGGAACTTCTTCTACACTTCGTTAAACCGATTCTTCATGTTTAAAACTTCTATCTCTTACATATTTCAACTGATTCTATGATTATACTCCATTTCCAACTCGCCTATATTGAAAACCCTAATTTCTTAGTCCTAAACTTGGGTTTCTAAGTGTCGTTTTGATAATATGTTCAGTTAATCTGTATGTTCCTATGATTCTGTGATTTTTGCCCTATGTTTGCTTGTTAGGTTTCCTAATTGTGGTTATCCTTGCCCATTGTGTGATTTTGCTCTATTTTTTGTTCACCGATGTTTCTGATTCTTCATTTCTCCTACTTGTATCATGCTTAGCCTACTAATTAAGACTATGCTCTACATGAATCCCTAATTTTATATGTGATTCTTGTCCTACTCGACCTCTTAGGGCTCTGATTTGTGCTTACCATGTGCTTGTTCTTATAGAGTGGTGCTAAATAAGTGTTATCTCCTATTCTTGCATCCTTGAATCTTTGTGATTGATCTTTCACTGATTCCGCATGTTATTTCTACTGATTTTTACCTTGTAGAATATTTTCTGACCTTATTCCATGGTCAATTATGCTATTAATTGATTGCTCAAGTCTTTCCTTGATTGAAGTGAGTTGAACCTAGCCTCTATTACATATTGTGTACTTGTACTATGCAGAAAATATTTCCTTGATTGTCATGTTCAGCCTTATACGATTTCCTTCCTTATTTGTTATATGTCTATTACCGTTTGAGTTTAATTCCTCAATTAAATGGATTACTTACCTTGATTTCCTGACTGATTGATTCTGAGTTCCTTAATTACTAATGGACTTTGATTTTTACCTTATTTACTACCTGCTTTCGAACTATAAATACCCTAGTCTTTCATTAACACAGGACACGAACACTTTGGTTCAAAA